TATATATATATATATATATATATACACATATATGAATAACTGTATTTACCTACTGATGGAGCTAGCCCCCCAATTTGAGAGCCACTTATCTACTAAATGAGCAAAAATTTACAAATGAGGCAGCAATGAATCATGCTAGCTGACTCTGTGTTAAGTCGATAGGGAAACTAGGCCTACACAGAAACAAGAACAATACTGTATGTGTACCAATCTGAGTTTTTAGCCTTGGCTGAAATGATCCTTTCAAGTGGAAAACATCCAGCTAGCCAAGCATGTGTGAGTGTGAACATACACATACGCAATATAAAGTGCATGTACACTTTCACAGTTGAAGTCCTAGCATATGGTTTGAGAGTTTTGAAAAGAGCTGCCGCCTTCTTTCACTGCTAAATGAAGCAGAGAAGCAATGGCAGCTTCCAGCAAGCAGCCTCATTTGCAGCCGTTCATTCTGTTCGGATCTCAGAAAGAGAAAAAATGGGCAGCAGATGAAAAGATACAGATAGAGCTAAAAAGACAGAAAGAGAAATGATGGATGCTGAAATAAGTGACACTCAAAAAAACATTTGGTGGAATGAAAAGGCCCTTCACACCCACTCTCCACCACTACACCAAAACCAAAATCAATACTCTCTCTGATTTCCCCAAGTGTATGCCAAACCACATTAGTTGAAAGCTATATGCAGGGCATTAAGCATAATGCAGCTCCTAGCTGCTCGTTCCTGAGAAAAGTCGGCCTTGTAATAAATTTAATAACTTAATAAAAACACTTCCACATGTCTTCTGCAAGTTTTCCCCATAGGATCTTTTCAAACTATGCTCTTCAGTACCCTATATGCTGATTCTTCTTCCCCCTGTAATTCCAAACTCCAAGGGTGATCTTCAGTCCTCTGCGACATGACTCCATCTCCTGTTTCCTCACTGTTTGGCTGAGCTTCAGTACCCTCTAGGGGAGATTGCTGGTAATTTAATGCCACTATGCTTGCTTTTCACACTTCAGCACAAGGATAAGCTGAGTGAATTAAATGTGTTTATTAAGACAGACTGTTAGAGAAGGAAAGGATGGCCATGCGGCATAATTTGTGTGCACCTTTCACAATTTCTGCCTCTCTTTCCTACTTTGGTTTCCACCGTAAAGCGAGATTTAGTTCTATGAGAGCGCATTCAATGTCACATATGATTGTTATCACTTTAGAGGATAAAAACAATATTTTAATTACTTTGTACTAATTGGATTGTTGAGGAGCTGTTCCCTGTGTTTCCACGGTTGCATGTCTTTGGGGTTGTGTAGCAACAACAACAGGGTGACTGACTCTGCCACTTTTGCGGGATATCGGTCTGCTGCCAAGTCCCTGCAGATTTTACTGTAATTAACCAGGCAGAGCCTTGTTTGTGCATGTGGACATGAATAGTAGCTTGTTATTTGAACATTAATGGCTGTGTACGAGTGTGTGTGTGTTGTGCACAGCTCACAGTTCACCTTGGAACAGCGCCCCAGCAGCTGCGTGTCCTCTGGAGTGCTGTTTATATCAATACTTCCTCCTGTAATCATGTTTTAGGACGGCCCATGCCTCAGTTTCACAGGACGAAACGTGTGATGTTTGCGTCTGTCAACACATTTGCCAACCCACCTTTCAAGTCTCACATTTGACTTTGGGCTTCTGCCATTTTCCTTCCCTCTTGGGGAGGCCCTGGCATGGGAAAGTTTCAGATTGGAGTACGCAAATTAAACGGGAAGTAAAACATTAGGAAGATTATTCAAAACGGAATTTTCAAATCCCAGCGGAAGAAAAAGAAAGAATAACGGTCATAGATGAAGATAGTCTTTAATGTTGACCTTGGTGTCTCTCCTTGTTAGGACAAAGGTTCACCTGCAAAATGAAGGAACAATGAACAGTATACAGAGAACATGTTAAACCCATTTGCCATCCATTAAAAGTTGATTTATTCCAGTGCTACTACGTACATTATGCATCATGTGGCAGTGTACACAGAACAATGATTTGGTTACATTTTTTCAGTTTTTTGGGGAGTGGGGGGTTCACTCTGTACTCAGCAGAAGTGTGTTCTGATGCCTGCTCTATGACGAAAGCCTACTTATAATAAAAGTCCGGGATGTGTTAATCGTTTTGTCTTATCTACCATTATCAGAGCAACATCATGAATGTCCCTCACTTCACTATGAAATACTGTGTATGTGTTTCATCTTCTAGAAAAGGATCAGTTCAGTAAATATTAGAATGGTGTTTAGGCTGGTCTTTGTGATGGGATACAAAGAAAACCAATTACAACAGAGTAAGGAACAGCAGATCCTGGATTAAATTTCCTATCTGCAAATGTAAAACAATAAAAGGTCTTTTGGGGGTTTCTTTTGTAACTGCCAGAATTTCAATCCCCTCGTGTAATTTCTAGGCATTTTTTTTACTACATACCTATGACATGTTGGCAGCCACCTACCTTTACCTTTTCACCTTTGTCCTGTTTAAATGGTGACATCTACAATGAGGTCATATTAACAGGACACCCAATCTTGCTGTTCATAACCTTCCTGTCAGTGAATGAGCAAAGTCTTTCCTTTTTTTTCGTGCCACCCGATGAAGTCCTTAACACCAGCATTGTTATGTCTCTCTGGGGAAGAGACTCCAGCATCTGTGATCCTTTCTGTTGTAACTACACACCAAGTACAAAATGGGACATGACCTGGGTTTCCATTGCTTCTTCCTCCCTTGCAGTTTTTCTTTGTTTTGGTTGGGTTTTTTTTTTTTTGGAACCACTTCAATGTCTTTTCTGCAGGCCATCTGTCAAGCCTACTTTTGTATGAGGGACTGATATTCTTAATAATGACAGATGAAAAACGTGAGGACGTACCAGATGTAATGACAAGGTGGAAACCTTAGATAGGAACAGGCAGGTAAGGCTGTAATCAAGCAGATAGGCTTAGCCATCCTGACTAATTGGATGATACTGATTGAAACAGAGACTGCAAAAGCATGATAGATCTCTTTATAGGCTACTATTAGGGAGAAGTGTAGCACTCTGAGATAGGAAAGGCTAAAGGTGGGGGCAGTAAAGAGTCATGCTTCATCAACTCAAGTTGAAAGGGAAAAAGCTAATATTCATGCTCGATTAAGTTGCACTTGTAGCAAACTGAATACATTCTTAAAAGAAGTGCTCTCTGGTCAATCCAGAGCCTGTGAGATAGCGAACCTGTTTGTTCTCTCACAGGGTTGGACCTAGACTCAGTTAAGCCTAAAGCAGCTTGGAAATAATTAAGACCATGGAAATAATAATGATCCTACAACTGTCCATTTGCTTAAGGGACCACAAATATGAGATTTAGCACTAGCGTTCTTTTGGGACTCAAATAATCTACTGTTCAAATCATCCTAGCCTGCTAACCTGATGACCTCCTGTTCTGTTCTAATGTGCTCTGGGAAAATCCTAAATATTTGTCTTCAAATTAAACTTTGCAAGTCATCACAGCACTAGAATATGCCAGTGCATGCTTTCATAGATGTTTTCCCCTCACTTCTTATCCATCACTGTACCACTCAGATAACCAAAGCAAAGGCCTCAAAGAACAGTTCAATATTATACTTTACTACTGAGAGCTGTCCACTTAGACTACAGGTCTGTACAGTAAATATAAAGCTAGTATTAGAAACCAGTTAGCTTATGCTCCTGATGAGTCAATTGAAGCCACAGACTGAAAGTGACAAAACTCAGAAGCTCTGACAGACATGCCCAATTTTACAGTAGAAGTAAAATCTTTACAATGGATTTGGTACCTATAGCCAATTTCCCAGTTTATAACAACTGTTTGGAATAATTTTGACTTAATTAGACTTTATTTGTAATAAAGCTTGAACTATAATTAAGGGTCTATCTGAGTATTGTGTCTTGTTCTTGTAATACTAAAAGATATTTTAAGAAACTGGCTGTTTCTTTGATAAGTACATTTTAAGTCTGTTTTTCACTAGTCAAAGTTTGTGTTGTATCACAGTGAACTCCTGATGCATCTTTTTCTAAACTTTCCCAGGCAGTGCTAGCATTACAAACCATGAGTCACTGCAGCTCTCTGAGAAAAAAAACCCCTCAGAAAGCCCCCAGTGCATCCAGTATAATCTACATAATGGAGATAATGTGACACAATATGCTGGCGATAGCTTAAGAGGAGCTAGAGCTAGCATATATCTCAGGTTGTTTTGATTCTGGCTGGACTCAGGAATGTAAGTAGTTAATGTGAATTTGTGTTTATTACTTAAATTTCTCTGCATGTAGATGACAACATACACAAAAATTAATCTTGCAGTCTCCCACCAGTTAAGCCAATCTAAAGCTAATTTTATATTTAAAGTACAGACATGAGGGGCAGTGATAACATACTAGACTACAAGACAGCATATAAGTTTAATCGTTTTTTTCTTTTTTTTAACTGTAAAACTATGGTTTATTTACTTTGAGATCAGTTCACTGTTTTGTAACCCAAAAGTTTCTTCTGCATTTTTTGTATTTTTGAGGATTTTTTTTGTAATACTGATTTTTTTTTAAATCTCTCTTCATATTTTTAACAGGGAATCAATTACAGAATCAACTTGCTGCAATTCTCTAGGTTCTGCAACTCTAAAAAAACACAGGTATCCTCGCAAAATAAAAAATTGGGGGAAAACAAAATTAAAAAATATAATACAAAAGAAAAGCAACCAACAAACCAAAGGTAATCTAATGAAACCAAGTGTATAAATAACCAGAGCCATCTGGGTGTGATCCATAACTACTTCTGGACAGAACCATGCAAAAGAGCTGGGTTAGTTACTCAGTTTGACCAGTGATGTGTTTGTGCCTGTATCCCAGCAGACCTCAAGCCATGCAATTTTCTGAAGACCACAGGAAGTTCTAATTAGTGGTAGTGAGAAAGGTAGACTACTACATATTTCATATTTGTTGTGTATGACTGTGCAGCATTGAGCTTAAAGTGAACTTGTTCTCTGAAACACACAAATATGCTCTCAATCTGTCTCGCCACGGGTTTCTCGCAGTACTTCTCCATTTGTCGCTGTGTTAGAAATAGAAAAACAGGTTTTCAAAACATTTAGAGTTGCAGTGTAATGGAGGCAATGTTATGCATGTTAGACATTTTCTTTAAAGTTTTGGAGAGGAATGTATCTGAAAAAGGAATGCAATGTTGTATTTAGACTGTTAACATCGTAAAAAAGCTCTGAAATTAGTAATTAAATAACCCTCTACTATTTATACATTCAGGCACTGAAAAATCACATGTCAATATGTAACTAAAAAAGATAGTCGCTCTCATTTTTTTCCTTGGTAAGAACAAGGAAGCTGATACCTTGAAGTTGGCAATAGTGATCATTTTTCCTACCCAGTAGTAATGCCATATGCATCCCCATTGCTATTTATTTGTGTAACAGTTTCTCCTCCCCTTTAAGTGCATTTTCAATCACTGACCTGAAGTCAGAGCTTTTGTAGCCTCTCCTAAAGCTTTCACCCTAAACTATGGGAAAGAATCCATGACACTAGTCATTTGAAAGGGAAGTCCAATGGTTTGTCTTGTTCTCCTCACCGGACAAACAGGTAGACGGACAGATGGGTGGACAGATGTCCTCCATGGCCTCAGAGGGCCAGCAGGTGAGCCAAGGCCCTCAGCTCCACAGACCAACTTCCCCCCTTGTTGTTAAGGACTCTCCGGTGTGATAGCCAGCTCTCACCTCAGCAACCCTGAACTCAGTCTTTTTCTTTTTTTTTTTTTTAACTATACAAGGGCTTTTACAAAAAAAGCTAACTTGGACAGCCATACAATGGCTAAAACATAAACCATATCTCTACTTTATCTCAGTTTGTAATTTTTTTTCTATTTTTCTTTTTTGGATGCATTTGTTTTTTCTTGATTTAAGTCTTTGCTTTCTTTTCTTTGTTCTTTTCGAGTAGCTCTAATCAGGCCTGTGCTGAGAGGCTCAGTCACAGAGAAACTGGTTTTCTGGATTTTTTTTTTTCATTAGGTGGAGAGGAAGGAATGAGTGGGAGGGAAAGGACAAGGATCAGGTCACGGACCAAGATGTGGGTTCATTATTAGTCCAGACATGGACTTGCCAGCAGATATGAGACAGAATTGGATGGGACAGAATGAGGCGACACGTTGGTTTGGGAAAGGTGGGGCTCAAAGGTGATTACAGAAGATTTGTCAAGGTTATCCGCTATCAGAGGAGGTGTGTGGTGCTGTGGAGGGAGAGCGCCGCCTACGGGCGGTGGAAGTCCAGGATCGCTCGGAGCGTTCGGAACGCTCAGAGGCTAGCGAAGCGGGTCGAAAGCGGTGAACAAAGCCGTCCAGGAAGTCCTGCTGCTGCTGGGTTATGGCTTGCGAGATGAGGCAGGGCAGTGCCTGCAGGCTGCCCGTCACTGAGTCCAGCTTGTCCTCCAATGTGCCGATGCGCTTATCCAGCTCCTCGCTGCGTTCCTGCAGCTCCGACACCAGGTCATACATCACATTCTGGGTCTAATGAAGGAGAGAAAGTAAATGTGTTTTGGGACAAGAAGGAACAGGAGGACATAGACAGGAGGGACAAGGGAGGAAGAGGCAAGATAGAAACATTAAGAAGCTGTTTCACAACTTGTTGCAACAACTAAAATTAGAGATGATATACAGTAGGACGCATACAGTGATTAAAGAAAAAAAAAACCTTAATGTAACAGTAATAATAAATTCCATGAGTAGACAACTACGGTAAATATATTACAGCAGAGGAGGAAATAATTTAAAGGAAGCAGTAGGAAGGGGAGCTGTAAAGTTTCAGCAAGTCAGCATAGATTTTATCTTCCCATAGATTTTACAACCAACTTCTCCAATCCATTTATAGCTCCTGAAGGTCTTTAATCCTTTATGTGTTTGCTTGACACAACTCATTTATATAATGAAAAGCATCTCTAGTATTTAGGTACTTATTGCTTAACAGTTCATGCAGTTCTGGCCAGCTCAGCATGTGGCATCTGCAAGTAATTCTTGCATCTCAACTAAGCAGTTTTCGATATTGCAAAATTAATCACACATTATATACAACATATTGCCTTCTTCAACATCACAGAGCATTTTATAAGATTTGCAATTTAACAGTCATCTGCAGAGATGACAAAATACTCATGTAGGGTCTCCAGGCATGTGTGCCCCTCAGAAATCAAATCTAAAATCCAGATGTGAAAGGTTTATATCTCTATGGGGCTTGAAAATAAAGCTGAGCCACTGTAGGGTGTATGCAGATTGATCTGACCATTGAGCATAGTAAGGCGCAAGTAAACACACATTAAAGCGATTGGCCTTGGAACCTTTTAAAATACACACTGGAGTGCAAATGCCATCCACATCAAATGAAGTCAATGCAGCCATGCACCTCCCTTTGAACCCCCTCTCAGCTCTGGTGCCTCAGCTGACATCTGTACAGCCAGACAGAAGCTACTGAAGCATTTCTGTATCCAGCCTCTTATGGACAGATGCTGTTTACAGTGTGTCATCAGGTTCAGGTTCTTCAAACTGAGTAGTCTCGCATTAGGGTTCATTCTCCAAAGAGTTAGCTTGGCTAAGATCACTTTTTAAGGCAGTGCAGGTGCCGTTTGATTTGATGTGATGCGTAGATGTTACATTCAATTTAAAATGGTATGATAATGTCAAACATGAAATTTGAAAAGGAGTTAACAATGGAGACATAATAAATAAATATCAATTATATTATTATTGTGTACAATAACTTTACCACTTTAATGATTTCTATAGGAGCTTAATTTGCCAAAAAAACTGAGAAAATAGTCCATGAAATAAAGTTAGAATTGATTCTGACTGATTGTATTTTCATCTTCTCGCGCAAACCTTCTATAGATAACATAACATAACAGTAAAAGTTTTAAAAGTTTTATTTAAGAATGAAACTGATGACCTGTACTGAATGACGTAATGTTTGACATTTGTATTAGCCCTCAAAAACTATCAAGTATTAGATTAAAAAGAGCACTCCTCTCAAATGTTGAAGCCTGAACAACTTAATCTTCTAACACTTCAAGAGCTGCACATATTGTCTACCTGGGATGTTGCATCTTGGGCCAAGCATTTTAACCAGTTCTTTAAAACCCTGCTTTTCAACCACATAATCACATCAGTAATTTCTATCCACCATTTGCTCTTCCTTTCATATGCAGTAGAATTAGCAAATAGTCCAGCAATGTTTGCTTAAGTTATTTGTTTACATTTGGGTCTCATATAAAAAGTTGCTATTATCTCCTCCTCTGAAGCCTGGTTGTACTCAATGTGTTTTTGCCTGAAGTAATATAAAAAGTTAGTTGTTTCCACCTTTAGTCTGAAAGGTTTTCTTGCATATTTTGCAAAGAAGTGAGCTTTGCTGCTAGTTGTTGAAGTAGCTTCCTTTTTGTTACCAAATCGTCATCAGAGGATGATACACGCTCTTGCCCTCAGACATGCCAGGCTTGTCTCGTTATTCTGTGTGCTGGGGAATGTAAACACAGGCCTTGGATATAGTAATGATATGGTACTTTTTTTTATGTATTTGAGGACGATATGATATGGCACAACCCTATTTTTCTAGGGGGTTTTTGCTGACTATTCAAAAAAAAAAGAAAGAAGAATGCACAACTTGATGCAGTCCCAGGATTGGTTCACCTATCAGCTTTATGCGGTAAGCTAAAGACGCTACAATTTTTAAGTGCACGGGGAGAACACTGGAAATATCCTAGGACAAAACCTTGGGGTTCCCTGTAGTTTATGTCCTTGGAAAGAGCCTGCTTAGGCCCTTCCTGAGAAGAATATCTCCATATAATAGAAGAATATACATTCAGTCAGTTTAAATAAAGACAGAATAGCAACGGCAAGTTAAAATCATCACAGCACAGATTATATCAAAACCTTCAAAAGATTAAGTTAGATTGTTAACTTGGAAAACTTACCTTTGCCAGGTCCACCAAGGTGTTAGCCTGATCATTGAGTTTTCTTTGCTCCATCTTAACACTGCGCAGTCTGAGTGGGCGCACAAGGAGGTGTGAACATGAAAAACAGGGAAGGAGAATGTGGACAAAAGGAAAGAGATGACAGCAAGGAAGAGAGGAGAGCAGAGTGAAGAAGGGAAAGGAGGGTAGTTTGAAGGAGTAGAGCACAGAGAGACAGGTTTTTGAGGGGCAGAGAGGGCCAATAGAAAAGAAAGGAGGAGGAGGAGGAACAACAAATGTTTTATCAGGACACTTCTTTCACTGATGACATTGAAAAGAAAGTAAGACATGCATTGTAAATATTTTCTTTATGTATTTATATTTATACACATATATGGAAGTGTATGCATATAAATATATATTAAAGGCATTCCTGGTCTTGGTCAATACAATACCAACCAAAACATGCAAAATTACAGAAGCATACTACACTCATTTTGAAAAAAAAAAAATAGACTGTTTGTCATGTTTAAGCTAGCTTTTTTTTGTTATAACAAGATCTTTTTTTCACAACGTTACAGTCCTTTAAGCAGCAGGTGGCAGCAAGTATTTTTGTTGTAATGAGAAATGATGCTAATAGTGAGAGATGATCTTGTTACAAGCCAAAAAAAGAATCAGTTTTTGAAAAAGTGGGAAAAGGAGCTCAATACGTGAAAGAAAAGTATTATTAGGAGTTAAAAATGCCCCTATGAGCAAGAATGCAATATGCTTCCATACAAGAAAATCCCAAAACCTGTTTGAAATCAAAACATTCCCATCTCTTTCCAAAACTAAGACATTGAAAAAAGGAAAAAGATGGCATGCCCTTTGTCAGTGCTACACACAGCTCAGTGGTAGGACTTCAGATATACACACTGGTCATTCAGTAAGCGTGCAGTGACTATGACTGACTTTGTGCACAATGAAACGAGTTGAGTGTTTTCAGTGCTGGATATTGTGAGTGTGTGTGTGTGTGTGTGTGTGAGAGAGAGAGAGTGCATATGTGCATGAGCTGATGTGTGTATGTGTGGATGCCACAGATAAAGGATGAAACTTGCCAGAAATAAACTGCCTAATGACACTGCTGAACATACGGCAACATCGACATTTCAAACATTTTAAATGAAATGCTGCACGATGATACATTGGACATGTTTTGTGATGCCTTCAACAAAGCGCCTCCTTATCTCTAATCAAATACATTATGGCTCTGTAAGAACTGTTAACGCTGATGTGCATAATATGCCATTGTTAGCAGTGGCATCACACAGCCATCATCTGAATGTGCGAGGGGAAGAATTTCCCTGTTCGGCAAATTATGAGACAGGATGACATTCAAGGGCATTTATTCATGTGCAAATCAGTATATCAGAGCAGAGTGAGACTGCTCGCTTACGGCTCTATCTCTGTGGGAAACTGCTCCAGCTCGTATGTGTCTGTTTGCCCGGCTTTGTCATCCCTTATGGCTGTCGAAGAATTGGGACTATTTGAGGTAAAAGCTCTACTTATTGGCGTAACACATTTTGAGTACAATTTTGTTCTACAAAACCCCAATGTACATGTCGCGCTGTGCCTTTTGTGCCATCCTATTGATGTCATGTACAAGGCCTTGTTGTTTGATCTCATATTAGAAAGGGAGAAAACAGCATAAATCAAGACTAAATCAACAGCAAGCATTTGATCCACATTAGAACTACAGGATAGAACACTGTGCTTATTTATGTCATCACAAAACCTTCAGGAGTGTAGGATGAGTTCTGTTGATGCAGGTTAATATAGCCCCAGAGCAGCTATATTAATCATGGGCAACAATATACACTACATCATCAATGATTATGAACTGCTGGCCAAGCCAACAAAGCTCCAAGCTCATTCTGCGCAAGATGCTTTTTCTTTCACACGTTCTCTCCAGACAGCCCTCCACTATCGACAATGTGGATGCTTTTCGTTCATTCAAGTCAGGGGGGAAATGGGAGGGAGAGGGAAGTAAATGGAACACTGAAGTAAAGAAAGAAAACACAACTGAAAACAGCAATTCAGCATCCATCCTTTTTTTCTTCTTCTTTTTTTTTTTAGAAACAAGTAAACTTTTTTTTTTTACATGCATGTCGAACGCAGACATGGAGAGAGGAGGAGCAGGAGGATGTTGAAGAAACAGTAGGAAGAGGATACATAGAAGACTCAACTTACTTCTGAGCTCTGCGGTGATAGAGCAAAACAAAGACAGAACACAGTACAGATTTTTAACCCCACAACATTCACGAAACGAGCGAAAACCATTACACTTCTCACTGTAAGCACAGGGTAAAAAGAGGGTCGCGGGGAGAGGGGGGCAAGGGAGGGGAACAGGAAGGACCATTACACTAGATTGCAGAGTGTTTGTGTGTATGTGTGTGTGCGTGAGTGTACGTGTGTGCGCGCGCACGCTCTGTATGTGTCCATCTGTGAGAGCTTACATATGTGTATGACAATCAAAGGAAATGGTCTTCAAGGAGAGGACATTGTGGGAAAACAGCATTGTTGATACTATCAGATATACACAACTATGTGGTATTATAGCTGATAACGCTGCCTAACAACAAATATAATTAAGGAATGAACCCAAAGGGACTATTTTCTTTTACAGCTAATCAGTAAGAATTACATTATCTCAGATTAACAGTTCAAATGATAATACAGCCTAAATATTTTAACCACAAGTAGCATTAAAGATTGAGCATTAGTAGTTCTGGTTTTAGGCCATGCTGAAAGTCTCCTTGGTAGTTTGTGGTGAACGTCTCTGTCATATTTAGATTAGATTATGCAAAACACACAAGGTGCAGTGAACTTACTGGTGAATGGCTTGGAGAAACTTGCGCTGGTGTTTCCGCACCTTGGCGTGATCTATCTTCTTGACCAATTTTGTGTGTTTGTAAATGAGCCATGTTTCCCTGAGTACATTGGCAGCTGTGTTCTTTACCTATGAAACAAGGGCGAGAAACTTATATAACATAGAGTAGTTTGAACTGCTCTGACAGATTACAAACTGAAGCACCCAAAAGGTTAAGTTAGAATTACATGTGCCAACGTTGAGTTTTAAAAGCTTTTTTTCAAAGAAAAAAACTCATTGTATTCGACTCCATACACACACTCACCAGCCATTTCATTAGTTGCACCTAGCTAATACTGGTTTTGGATTTGTGAGAGCCAATTCCTCATGACATCACATAGTTACTGCAGATTTATCAGCTGCACATCCGTGACATAAATCTCCCATTCAACCACATCACAAAGTTGCCCTGTTGGACTGAAACTTCTTGTCATTTTCAAGACACCGGTTAGAAACAATCTGAGCTTTGCGACATGGGGCTTTATCCTGTTGGAAGCTGCCATTGGAAGCTGGGTACACTGTGGTCATTAAGGGTTGGACAGGTGGTGTTTAAAGGGCGTTCAGCTGGTACTAAGTGCGTTTAAACACCTATAGTTCATTTACTCTGGTCCAAAGCAGTTTATGAATTTGTAAGCTTGTAGCTTTCCCCGTGGTTTGGTTTTTTTACACAGAGTAAAGTCCAAGAGAACCAAAATGCATCACTGCAAACTACGTGAGAGCGTTCAGTCTGCTTGAATGGATCCATGCGTTCATGGCGTTTATGCCATATTCTGACCCTACCATCTGAATGTTGCAGCAGAAACTGAGACTCATCAGACCAGGCAATGTTTTTCCAATCTTCTGTTGTCAAGTTTTGGTTAGTCCATTGTCGCACCCGGTGGGATTCTCTGCTGCTATAGCCCATCCGCTTCAAGGTATGACATATTGTGCATTCAGAGGAGCTCTTCTGCATACATTTCAGTTCAATTTTATTTATATAAAGCCAATTCCTGACAAAAATTGCCTCAAAGTTTCTGATAATGTAAGGGAAAGACCTTAAAATATTAGAAAGTTATCCCAAACGACCCCCTGTCAACAGTTGGATGGAAAAACTCCCTTTTAACAGGAAAAAACCTCTGTCAGAATCAGCTCAGGGAGTGGCAGCCATCTGCCATAACTTGTGGGGGGTGAGGGGAAAGAGAAAAGAGCAGAAAGAGGACGAAGGGAGAGAGAGTCAGGGTTTAATAGTTACAAACGATTAAAACCAATAGTCGGCAGAAAACACACATAGGTTTCTTCAGCATGTTGTTTTGCCCATGTCTGCATATTTAAATGCACTGACTTCCTGTCATGTGACTGGCTGGTTAGACGTTTGCATTAACAAGCAGTTGAAGAGATGTACCCAATAAAGTGGCTGGTAAGTGTGTTGTTTATTCTACAATCCCAGTCAAATTAACAGACTGGAAGAGCTGAGAATGCTCGAAAGAGTTACAAACCAAAACATTCTCATCACTGTTACAAACACAAAATGCATATTATAAGAGTTTACTATTACAGTTTACTGTGACTCACTCGTTTGCAGAGTTGTGTGTCCATCATGAAGTTGTGGACATGCTTCTCAGCCTTGGTTAGCTCCAGCTTCCTGGCTACCACTGCAACTACCAACGCAGTGCAACCAGCTCCCTGTTGCACAAAAACAGCAACTGTTCTTTCTTATATGGACACTACGTTGTGTTTGGCTGGTGTTACATAGATCTCCATATATACATAGTACATTTCAGGTTCTTTAAAATAAATGCCCAGTGTGTGAGCTCTACAGAAGAAGAATTAAATACATGTTCTGGTAGGTTAAAAACAAACAAACAGAGGAAGCGAGAAACAAATATATGTTGAAGAATCAAGTTGAAATCTGACGTCCAGGTTGCACGATAATACTTTGAGCTAGAGGTTTCGTTCTATCTGATCATAGTTGTCTTGTGTGTTCTGTTATACATTTATGTAACTGAAGACATGATGAACCTACCATGATCCCTGTAAGCAGACACACGCCTTTCCCACAGTAGGTGTGTGGTACCATGTCTCCGTAGCCAATGGAGAGGAAGGTAATCGAGATGAGCCACATGGCTCCCAGGAAGTTACTGGTCACTTCCTGTTTGTCATGATACCTAAGGCAATGGAGATATGCAGAAGTCAGGAAAACTGGAACTCAGTTTCGTGAATGTGAGCATGCTGAAGAATGACATGGTGCTGTGTGAACCAAACGGGTTGTGAGCGGAGGTGGTGGAGGTGGTGAGGATCGAGGAGTAGGAAGAAATCATGATGGAAGGAGAGACACCTGTTTTATAAAGCCAGTTCTAAAAAAAAATGCAGCAGATTTTAGTGCGAAACAACAAAAAAAGGTCTACTTAGTACATGTGCGAAAAACAGTAGAATTCCTTTCTGTTTTCCTTCATCTTTAAGACAGTTTTTAATGCAGAGACATATTTTTAATGGGAAGGACGCTCAAAATAATGCGAAGGAAGGGGGAAAAAATCACTTTCTAATTGAAATAACTGATTTGAAACTGAAACCATGATGTTCACCATCTGTAAGTTTGAAAATGAGGCACTTGATTAGATGAATGATGGGAAATTTAAAAAGAAAAAAAGAGTCTGAGGCCAAATGACATTATCTTAATTTAAAATGGAAAGAAATTATACTAAGTATAGTAAGCAAGTTTTAAATGACAAAGAGAGAGGCCATGTTGCTCAGCGTGACTGGATATAGTGCCATGGCTTTAAGTTATTTTCAGTATTGCAACCCCAGAAGGTACATCAGTGCATCCAAAAATGCATACGCTTCTTCTTTAAATCAAACTAATAGTCGGATTATTGGTCAAAGTTTAATAAAAATCTTCCTTCCTTCTCAGTGTTGCCCCGACAGAAGTTTTGGTAATGCAAATCATCAATCAGTTCAAACTGACAGCCATGCTTGAAAATGTCGGACCAAAAGGCCCATAGTGCATACGTAAAGATACTTGTGTAACAAAAAACACAACGCACACAAAGCTGGATTGAGGATGACATTGCCATACCTTCCACAGCAAAGCAAAAGTCAATCATGGAGGCAAATCTGCCTCATTCACCCACCCTCATTCAACTCGCCTGATTATTCCCAATGGGCTGTCTAGGAGGAGATCAGATAAGATTTAATTTTGAAGTCAAAATCAAATATTCATTAAGCACTTTCAGACAACATCACGCTAACATCCTTATGACAAGGCAATCTAGACTCTGAGTCTAATTTCTTGGGATTTGGTTAAGGATTTTGTAAAGGGAGTGCTAACTGGGCCAATCATGAATTTCCGATCAGTTTGAAATATCCAGCAGCGTCCAAGCCTATGAACTCCGAATGACCAGCACAATCATCTCTAATTAGCGCACAAGTACATATCAGAACAGCTGGGGTTCAGCCTATGAATTTCTAAAGTTTTTTTCTACACCAGGGGGAAAAAATGATTCACAGTTTCATAGAAAAACCGTTTCCTCTTTCTCCTCCAAGACAGTTCATTGTTACCAAACACCATAAATGAACTAATCATGCCTTCCACATTTCTTAAAACTCCCACTCTCAAGTTTTTCTATTCATGCTCAAAGTCCGGGGGAAAAATAGCTGAGCGTTTTTGTCCCACAGAATGTCAAAAAAGTGTGTGGTCTATGGGATTCAAGCTTTTTCAATAACATGCAGAGAAGCAGTCTGTACAATACCATGCAGGAATAAAAAACATGTCTGCATCTGCATGCTTCAAAGCCAGTATATTGAGAGCAGGGGAGCAACAGAAAAACCTAGGGTTCATTTAGAGATTAACACCACCTATGACAAATCCTGCAGTATTACCATGTGAAAGGGGACCGTTACGTCTTCTTGGTACTGATCATTTGTGTGGGGTGGGGTGAGGACTGGTTGAGTAACAAAGGAAGAAGCTCATTGAATTTGACACCCCTGTCTCTTTTACCTGCATCCCAACACTTCACCAGCTGCCCTTTGATAACTGCCAGGGGGATAAACTTGATCAGCTGGCTAAATATTGTAATTACAAGTGACTACAATGTTAGTGACTAGTATGTTAATTTCATTCATTTTGTCATCAAGGCATGCAGAGAGTGAGTCACGTCTCCAAGGCAGGCAGGAATGTGCTGCACCTTTCAGCACAGTGAACAGTTTATTGCAGTACAATATGGTCGCCTCTGTTGTAAATATGACCTATAAATATGCTTGGCAACAATGCAAAGAGGCATTGTTGCTTTCTCTTTTATCGCCTGTTTTTCTGTTGGTGGACATTTCATTGCACATATTTCAGCTCTCTGAAAAAGAGCAGAAGACAGCAGTACTGGAGCAGAGACAGAGGCTGAAATGGGAGCAAATCAATAGCGTTTTAAGGCTCTCAATATACTGTGTCAAGTTTTGGAATAGCATGGAGAAGAGCTGGCACCACTTTCAACTTATTCCAGGACAGGACATATATAATGTCCAGAGCAGATAGTTGTAATCCCCCCTGGTTAAATTCTCCCTGACAGACACTAACAGCAAATGCATTATTCTTGGATCAATTACCCAAACGTTTTACAGATTACATTATTTATCCAGCATCAAATGCAACAACACCGCCATTTACACCCAAAAGAGCACCGAGGCCTTCGTTCTGCGAGACAGTGTGATGACCACAACACAAGACCAATAAGGCAAGGTCTCAAGTCGCAGTGTTTTAACTAAGCTGACCAGCAACGACATAAACAATTGCTTGTGAATGACTATATCGGTCTGTTCAAATCACCATCGGTGTAGTCTAATCAGCCTTTTCCCTTCCGACATGGCTATGCTCTCTGTTTATGTGCACAAATGGAATCACTTCATTTTTCAGCTGCTGTTGTCTGTAGATGTTTGACAGAGGCTGACAACACAGCCTCTCTATAAATAAAGTAGCAAGAATGGATCACATGTGAATGAGCCGCACTTAACCTTGCCAACATGCACACACACACATACACTCAGGTTTTCCTTTCGAACTGGATTCCTTCACATACGCGAAATATTTTAACAGATGTTTCCTTCAGAACAAGGGCGCTTTTTAAGGTATCACACACATAAAAGTTACTACTGTGCTTCGTGCGCCTAAAATGCACAAATGAATTAAAAAACACTTGCAAAACCCGATAGTACAACGATATTTAGATTTCAAACATGCTAGAGGAAGAACATCAACCTTGCCTCTGTTTCTTGCCTTCTTTAGTCAGTCGGCACAGCGAAGCAAAGAGCCAAGCACTTTGTTCACACTGAAAAGCTCGTGCTTTACATTCTGAAGTCATCACCTTCATATAGTAACAGCACATCACCACTTTTGTCCAGATGTTCAATCGAGGCAAAATAAATGAAAAAAAAAAAAGTCAGAATGCCAAAAAATTAATCCGAACACTGCTGTGATGACTTTTAAACAAATACATTGGGATGCTCCGCGGGGGGAGGGGTTTTAGTTGCAATAAACATGAGTAATGACAGCTTCTTTGAAAAACTGCAAACAAACTAGCAGTGTTTTTACAGCACAGCAATACACAAAAGTAAGCAAGCAAAGCAGCACAGCAAACTAAAAATCTGTACATTTGCTAATTGCTGAAATTGAAAGGGGACATATTGTATTTTTACATGATTTATCATATTTATAGTGTTACAAAAATGGATCACATTACAAATTTAACATGGCTGAATTTTTTTTTAAATTGCCATGAACGAGACAAAAGCTCAGGCTTTTGAATCTTTGGGATTTCTTGTACCTTTAGGCTCAGTTTACCAAGAGCTCTTCTGCTCTTAGTTCTTTATGAACTAAAAGTACAAGTCAGAGAGAGAGAGAAAGGAGGTGTATGGTCATCTCAGTTGAACAGCTCTGGCTGTGAGCACAGTATTCCCACCCACTTGGTGTTCAAACACTCAACCAGAAGGGAGGATGGCCTTTGGATAATGTTCTTCTGAAGGAGAGGAGCTAAAACTGCTTCTTTCAGACAGAGGGCTGAACCAAGTCCCAGTGTAAGATATATATGGATTATTTTGAACTGATTTATGCAAAGCTACTCAAGCAGAGTCCAAGAATTAAAATATGGAGTTGGGTATGATAATAGGGGAATAATAAGTCCACTTTAAATATGGTGGGAGTTTTCGCAGTTCAAAGCAATACAGTACTGAGTTTTTAAAATCCCAGATTCTTCCTGTGGCACCAACGTGAGACTGATTTGTGATTTTTGAAACTTTACAAGACCAGATTTTCAGTTTTCTCTAATGGCACGATTAGGTAAAATTTAGTTATGGATTAAATGTGTGAAAGAATTAATTATGGTTAATTAACAAATGTTAGCATGCTATCAATCTGATGTGATGAACATGGAACACGTTTTAGTTAAAAAAATATGTAAAACTTAAAAATTCCGAAGGTTTTATTATTATGCAGTTTAGACTCAACCCACTGTAAAGTTTATGCCCTAAATTAACTGTATTGGTAATTACCAAAATTGTTTTTATGTTTTAGTAATGGTTAATCCACCAGATCCAAATCCACCACAAGCTCTTTATCTGAAATATTTTAATGTCGGTGTTATTGTTGTTAACCTAGATTTTCAAATGTACTGGTTAAACAAATAAAAATAAAAAATAGTTGTTAAGATGCCAAATTACAGTGATCTACTTGGATTCCTGAACAGAAATTTTTATTTGATTTGATTAATTTCTTCTTAAAGAATTTCAGTGTAACAGCTCAAATTTATAGAAATATTAATTCATTAAAGTTTGTTATTTGCCTAATGAATAATAATATTTTTTAATGTGAAACAATTTTTTGAAAGTTTCTAAATTTTTATTTGTGTTTTCTTGTTTTTATGGCCTGTGGTCATATACACACATTATATACATCTCCCTCTCACCACCTGGTGGGTGATGTTTGAGGTCCTCAAGCTTGGGTCTTCAGGTCTGGGAGTTTGAGGGTCCTATGCAGTATCTTAGCTGTTTCTAGGTCGGTACTCTTATGAACAGAGACATGTGGTGTGCTTGGAATCTGTATCCATGTGTGGGGCATCCAGGTGGTTCTCAGGTTGCTCTGCCTGGTGTTGGAGTCCTGGTGGTGCTTTGACCCACTGGTGTTATT